ACCCCTTACTTGGAATCATATCAAGTATCGATTACCGAAAAATCTGACTGTCGAGCAATTTTGAAGGTCGTATGGTATTATCATCACATCGATCAACCATGTCAACATAGAGATTTAGACGCGCCAACATTCCTAACGGGGTGACAACCCCTCACTTGAAATAATTAAAGTATCGATTACCGAAAAATCTGACGTTGTCGGGCAATTTTGAGGGTTGTATGGTATCATCATGACCTCGAACAACCATGTCAACCTAGAGATTTAGACGCGCCAACGTTCCTAACGGGGTGACAACCCCTTACTTGGAATCATATCAAGTATCTGTTACCGAAAAATCTGACGTTGTCGGGTATTTTTAAAGGTCGTACGGTATCATCATCACCTGGATCGACCATGTCAACAAAGATATTTAGAAGCGCCAACGTTCCTAATGGGGTGACAACTCCTTACTTGGAATCATATCAAGTATCGATTACCGAAAAATCTGACGTTGTCGGGCAATTTCAAAGGTCGTACGGTATCATCATCACCTGGATCGACCATGTCAACAAAGATATTCAGAAGCGCCAACGTTCCTAACGGGGTGACAACTTCTTACTTGGAATCATATCAAGTATCGATTACCCAAAAATCTGACGTTGTCGAGCAATTTTGAAGGTCGTATGGTATTATCATCACCTCGATCAACCATGTCAACATAGAGATTTAGACGCGCCAACGTTCCTAACGGGGTGACAACCCCTCACTTGAAATAATTAAAGTATCGATTACCGAAAAATCTGACGTTGTCGGGCAATTTTGAGGGTTGTATGGTATCATCATGACCTCGAACAACCTTGTCAACCTAGAGATTTAAACGCGCCAACGTTCCTAACGGGGTGACAACCCCTTACTTGGAATCATATCAAGTATCGATTACCGAAAAATCTGACGTTGTCGGACAATTTTGAAGGTTGTATGGTATTATCATCACGTCGATCAACCATGTTATAATGGAGATTCACAAGAATCTCAATCAAATAGCGCCAAGAAGTCACAGGAAGGAAGGAATGCTCGAAGTCATCTCCACAAATTTTAATGATATTTTTAACTAAATCATGAGGGACATGAAGAAGTGTTTCTCTTACCGCAACTTTTGACAAAGCTCAGATTCGACCATCTCGTGAGTACTGTTTGCATGTCTGGGAATCAGCTCCAAAACATTCCCTGAAGTTGCTTGGGTCGGTTTGACCCAATTCTGACAAGATCACTGCAAACCTTACAACATCAAAGAAACGTTGCAGACCTATAATTAATTACTCTTCTATCGATCGCTATCATCATCATGGACGATGCTCGATGCAGCTGTCCCCCCTGGAAAGACCATTATTCGCCGAGACTGCTAAATCAAGTTTCTCACTCATATGCAGTCAAAATTTTAAACATCTAGAACATCATGTTTCAAGAACTCCCTTTTTGTAGGACATTGTCAATTCGGACTGTTCAGTGTTTTGCTCATGGATGAATTTACAGAAAACTACAACAGTTATCAGTAGAATATTCATCGCTAGAAATTTGACAATTAGTATAGCTGAGGATAGGTAGGTATGATAACTATGACGATAACACAAGTAGATCTTCGTTTTATCAGGTGAGGAATTGAAAATGGAGACATACAATGTATATTCCGTTGTTCCATGAAAAACTTTCGATTTGGAATCAAATCAGATTCTTGTGGTGGTTCAGACACTGAAACCTATGAATTAGTTGGGAATATACGTCAACATTAGTGTAAACTTTAAGAAAATATTGTTTTTCCACCACTAACCTGAGAAATCACCATTATTCAAGGATATTCTCTAATGAAAAGTAAATTTTTTTTGACTAAGGTAAATAATAATTAAGACATTTTACCTACGTGAATAATGAAAATATGTCATTGTCAATTGTGTCAATGATATGCAGATACGTATGCCACCAATCGCTACTTTTGCATCAATTTACCACCTTCCTCTTCAGGCTTTTCTGACAGCCAAGTCCTATTTCCTTCCAGTTTGTTTGACAACGAACACGTACAGGCTACCAATGAACTGTGATATATCAAAATTTTAGTAGTATGGATAATAAAAATTTCAGTAGTATGCCAAAGGAAAATTTTAGTAGTATGCCTAATAAACACCGTCCTTGCGTGGAAATGAAGAGGTTGATATTTCAGTGTTAGTAGTGGAAAAACTATTATTTTTACCTTGGGTAGAAATGCTATTATAAAGCTCGCACATTATTTCCTTCGGCGCTATGCGTCTCAGGATATAAAATAACTTGCTATATAATAGCTCACTTCTCACCCTAGGTGTATAATATACTATTGTTACAACAAAAGAGTTGTGTTTCCACCATGTCACGATATAGTGGATGGTTAGTTCATACATATTGATTTATAAGGGGTAATGTTTGGCTTAATATTTTGCGAGAGGTAATATTCAAATAGGCACTAATAGTTTGGGGGTAGCTGAAAGTACGAGACTATATTCAAAGATAACAATATTTATAATTACATGGAACAGTATGGGTATATAGCAATAGAAAATATGAATAACCAACAATGAATATGAAGACTTAATAACAACTTACATTATAATGACCATCACGGCGAGCTCTTGTCAAGTCAAGAGTAGCCCCAGACCAGACTGACTTCGGAACCCTCACATCCAATATTTATATACATCATTTAATTAGATTTGCACGTTTCTCATGAGAGTTCCTTGATCAGTTTTCATAGTTCAATGTCAATGGAAGATTTGATTAATTTTATGTTCATAAAACCCTCATGGTTCCAAATTACTAATATACTGTATGTTCTACTCGTGACACTATTTAAGAGTCTACCAAAAATTCTTGTATATACCAGTGATGGAATGAGTAATAAAAATAAATTCATTATAATTATTCTAGAAGACGATAGTGACGACACTGATGAAGATGATGATATAATTATTATGTCAAGACGAAGAAACATGAATCTCACAGTTTCGTTGTTTATTATAAGAATATTTACTGATACCTACACGTATGAGGAGTTCTTGTTTTTAGTTTTAATCGCATTGTATTGAATTCAACAAAAGTATTATCTATTACTCACCAGAAAATATATAAAGAGCCCCTCATATTCAATGCTTCTAACTGGTGACTTAGATATTGAATCAACTTTTGAATTCCACAATATTTCTTGAAACATCTAGAAATGAGAATAATAATTATTCGCATATCTACTAGTCCGGACCTGACTGACGGCGGATCAGTTTGATTCCCCAGGTTTTTGAGGCATTTTTTCTAATATGTGTACGGTGATTGCTTTTTGTGTTGCTTATTCACCTACTGATTTATTTTCAGTTCAACTCTTGGTTCATCTTATAGATTATCTCAACGTTAGTTATTTTGTCACTAGTTTCCTTACATTTCTGAACATAACGTTTTCTATCTATAGAGTATCGAGGTGTCACTTTGTTGATCATTTCATTATTCGCTTGAGTTATTGAAATGCCGAAACAAAAAAAATTGAAATAAAATTGAATCTATTCATCAACTTGGTCAGAGAAAATAAAATTGATCTGAAAGATCTCGAATGCTCCACTGGCTCTAGTGAAGTACTAAGAATAATATGCTCTCATTTGAGTTTACGAGCATCTGCAAAGAATAAATACCGTATGTGAAAATACTGGTTGAGAAATAGGTCTATTATAACTCAAACCATAATTAAAGAAAATGAAAGCAGATTTGATAACCGAATTCATTCAAAAACTCATTCAATCGAGAGTCAGAAAACCATGAAACAGAGCAACATTCCTATCATCTCAAGGGTAGAAAGCGAGAAGAAGTAAAAACACATTTGTTGCAGTCAAAACCTTTGAGCAAGAGAGATAAAGATATCAAAGCTGCTGATAGTCAGTTGTTAGCTCATGGCAATTGGCAAGATATCAGATCTATATCTGTTTATCAGAAGGCAAGATCCGAAGCTAAAGCTGACCTCGACCTCGATAAACATTCTTATTTGGATCTTGTAATGAGGTCCATAAAAAAACCTATCGAATATAGATACCTACAGTGGCCATCCACTGAAACTCTTGTGTATCTATACAGTAAACAACAGATAAACACATTGGTACCAAAAGGTCGCAGAGTAGTTGCATATTTTGATTCTACAGGAAGCGTTGTTTCATCAAATAATTCTGGTAAAATATTTTATCATGCGTTGGTGATGAATTTAGATTCCAAAGTCATTCCAATTGCAGAATTCATGACTTCCATGCATGATGCTGGGACCATAGCGAACTTTTTCATCAAATTCGGAAGATTCGTGACAATTGATGTTCAGCGTTCTTGGCCTATTTTCGATGTTATCGTTTGTGACTGGAGTTTTGCAAATATTGGATTGAACGAAATGACTCTGTTTTCATATCTAAAAGTTATGTATCAACAGTTGACACAATGTTCTGTGAGTAAGAAACCAGCAGTCATGTTATTGAAATTGTGCTGTGTTCATTTCATGAAAATGATATCTCGGGTCTTGAAGAGGATGAAAATTGATAAGAACAACTATAAGATGTTCATGGAAATGATGGCTCGCATGATAGAAGCTTCTTCATTACAAGAACTGTATGCATTGTTCCGTGCAGTATGTATAATTCTGTTGAGCCCAAATCTGACTCTTTCAGTGAGAGAAGCATTTAAAAAGTGTCTCGATAGAAATTGTACTACGGACTTGAACAATTTACATGATCTCGATATAAGAGAATATAAGAGAAGACACTCATGATGAGGCCATAGTTAGAGGTCAATACAAAGAGTCACCATTTTATATACATTTGTATAATTCGTATTTGGAGATATCTAACGAAATAGAAGACGGTTCTATGGCACCCTACGCATTGAATCTTCACCGATGTGAGCGATTTCTTCAATATATCTTGGAAAATTATATGGCGTTTGTTCCACTATGGACAGGCATTTTCAATACGTTTGATTCAAAAATTAGTGCTATCACTAGGTTTAGTAATTCCAATGTAGAATGCTGGTTCAAAATAGTCAGAAACGATATCCTTAATCACGATCAGAATCTGAAAATTGGTAGATTCATTGATAAAATTAGAGAAAAGATACTCATAGATCTTAAAACAGTAGAGATGCAGATTGGAAAGAAACCTATGCGAAAAACTAATTTTTCAAAGGAGAAACTGAACAGAATGAGGTCAGAAATTGACCAACCATTGGCACTTGAATCTTGGAAAACTCACTCTACTCGAAAGCGATCAAGCTATTTCAAATTGGAGACAATGAAACATAGTTCCACTGGTTTCTCGGAAGATAAAAGTGAAGACGAAGGATTGCGATCACCTATCATCAAATCTCATGAAGGATCGTCAGTCAGATCACCTGAGTTTCGATCACCCCTTCATGGATTAGATTTACATTCACCTGGTACTCCATCTGTTGAGGAAATTGAAGAGCATGATCCACGATGTCTACTGAATGGTTTGTTTTTCAATTCGGAATATTATTTGAAAGCATGTTTGAAGAATGACGTACCATTCACAATAGGACTTCATGAGGCTGGTGAAAATAACATCAAATTGACTAGTTCTGATTATGCATCTCTTCACTCAAAATTCAATGAAACTATCTCATATTCCAGTAATGTCATGTCTAAGTGGTTAACAGATTACTGTTTGGATGTGGTATCATTCAGCTTGTTGAGTGATTGTAGTGATATATATTATATAGACACAATTTCAACGCAGCTCATATTCAATTGTAAAAGCATTATGCGCAATTTCAGACCCTTCACCATCCCCATGGATAATATTAAATATGTTATCCTCCCCGTGAATTCTGGAGGAAGTCACTGGATATTAGTACTCCTTGATATGGAGCGAAACGATATTCACATTCTGGATCCAGGATATGCAAATCAAGATTCTGTCGTATTAGAGAGTATTACAAATTTCTTCAACAACCGGAATGCTTCCAGAGGATTCACTGAGATCGTACCGTCTATATGGAAAATTCAGACTCATGCTGATAACGCTTATCCCAAGCAAACAGATTCACATAACTGTGGTGTTTATGTTTTATATTATATATATATCCTATCTAAAACCAAAACTATCAATTCGTTTTGGAGTTGTTTGAATTCGCAGTTTAAGTTCGATCCAGAGTGTTTCAGGCTATCATTACAATCTTTAATTTTATTGTCCTCTGAGAACATATCAGAAATTTGTCAGATATGTGGTACAGATGAAGAAGGTAGTTTCATTAAATGCAACTTCTGCAAACGTTGGGTACATATAGAGAAGTGTGCAAAACCACAACGACTGTTGAAAAGTGAGGTTTCCATGGAAGATGCAAGCGATACAAATTTCATCTTCAAATGCTTCCTGTGTAGAGTTAATGAAGATCCTTTCGAGAGTGTGAAACACTGCCGCAATATTGATTTGGATGAGCCTGAATTGAGACAGTTCGTGAAACACCATAAATGTTTTTTACAAAATATTGTCAATACCAGAGAAGGTGATGAAGAAAGTAGAAGATTCCGAGAAACAAGTGATCCAAGGAAACATTTGATATGGGATTACTTTACGGCATTCATAAAATTCAACACCGTAATCAAGATAGTGAAAATTCTTATTGAAGAAATCATCTGCGACGATTTAGAATATATAGTATATGTTCTATGTTCTATTAGTAGTGTTGAATAGGACATTATTTCATCGTTTTTATGGAATCCCTGAGGACGGCTCAATTACCTTTGAGGAAAAATATAAGGAACTCAATTCGATAGAAAGTGACGAGTTTGAATTCCCAATCAACTATACACTGGACACTATATATATGACGCGCTAATCGAATCATGATTGGAAAACGACTGACTGAACATTCTTCGAATGAATAGTATTTCAACTTGTTCCGATAATGAAAAATGCTGTATTTTTACAGGTTTATGTTTTTTTGATACCATCATTTTCCAGTAATTGATACTCTATATTATTCCAAATAAAGGGTTGTCACCCCGTTAAGAACGTTGACGTGTCTGAATCTCTATGTTAACATGGTTGATCAGGTGATGATAATGGCATAAAACCTTCAAAAATTCCCCGACAACGTCAGATTTTTCTGTAATCGATACTTTATATTATTTCAAGTGAGGGGTTGTGACCCCGTGAGGAACGTTGGCGCTTCTAAATATCTTTGTGGACATGGTTGATCGAGGTGATGATAATATCATACGACCTTCAAAATTGCCCGAAAACGTCAGATTTTTCGGTAATCGATACTTTATATTATTTCAAGTAAGGGGTTGTCACCCCGTTAGGAACGTTGGCGCTTCTAAATATCTTTGTTGACATGGTTTATCGAGATGATGATAATACCATACGACCTTCAAAATTGCTCGACAACGTCAGATTTTTCGGTAATCGATACTTGATATGATTCCAAGTAAGGGGTTGTCACCCCGTTAGGAACGTTGGCGCGTCTAAATCTCTATGTTGACATGGTTGATCGAGGTGATGATAATACCATACGACCTTCAAAATTGCTCGACAACGTCAGATTTTTCGGTAATCGATACTTGATATGATTCCAAGTAAGGGATTGTCACCCCGTTAGGAACGTTGGCGCGTCTAAATCTCTATGTCGACATGGTTGATCAGGGTGATGATAATACCATACAACATCCAAAAACTCATGATAACGTCAGATTTTTCTGTAATCGATACTTTATATTACTCCAAGTGAGGGGTGGTCACCCCGTTAGGAACGTTGGCACGTCTAAATTTCTATGTTGACATGGTTGATCGAGGTGATGATAATACCATACGACCTTCAAAATTGCTCGACAACGTCATATTTTTCTGTATTTGAAACTTAATATCATTCCCAGTGAGGGTTTTTCACCCCGTTAGCAATGTTGGCTTGTATTAATCTTGTCTTCATCAATTTTGAGGGGTCACTACCCTCTGAATAATTTTCCAGAAATGTTCTCGATGAGCAAATACTATATATTATTATGTATCAAACCTCAAGTCATTGTCTATATAGTTATTTATGTATAACTTTATAATTGGTGAACTTATTTGTATAGTTATATTACACATCGTAATGGATCCCTATATCAAATAATATTGATGAAATTACCAGTATTTTGAGTTCTTCTGTTAATTTTCATTCAAAAATGAATTATCGGACACTATTCATCTGGCCCGCTAGAAATTGGCGAGAACGCAGATTTAAATCTGAAGCTAACTTCAGCCACATATTTAAGTCGGACCCGTTTAGACTGTTTATAGTCAAAATGAGTTACTGATAAATAAATCAATGAGTAATATGATAAAATCCGATGTCATCTGATGTTCTCTGGTTCTTTCGATTTGAGTTTCTGTGATCTATGCTTTCTGTCCTATGTCCATGGCTACCGTACCCTGATGTGTGTTCGTGACATTTTATCTCACTTTTCAGTTTTCAGCAACTCTTCTCGTTTTTATTCGTGTTTACTACTAATAGCGAATCCCATTGGTAAAACTGCCTCACACTGAGTGCATATTTTGTAGTCCATTGGTAAAACTGGTTTTGGGGTTTTGAATTCCATTAAAAAACTGGTTCACATAGTCTAGAGCTCAGTGCAACAATTCTCGCACGAGCTCTCATAGGTCGTGCGAAGTCAGTACCTATGTAGTTTTGAAAATGACGGAAGCCAAATTGTTAGTGGCAATTTGATTATCATCGAATAATGATGAATAGTTGGAGTTTTCAAGAAAATGAAGGAGATTACTTCCAGAATTCATTATTGCGTTGAAAGTATTTTGCAAATTCAATGATAGGTACTCTTCAAATAAAGTACTCAACATTATTTCCATGGAATATTTACTTTGTTCTCATAATTTAAGTTAAGAAAGAATTTCAGGATACGGACAAATTATAAACAAAGACAAACTAATCCGATTTAACCTCCAAATATTTCGTATTCCATTGGGGATGCATCAGTTCACATTTTGGAGAGAACTAACGTAGTGCGGCCCGCACATTTCAGAATTCTCAAAACTTAACCTCAAAATTCACCAGATTTCACCAAATGGAAGGTTCAAGATACACCCTTCTTTTTGTATGAAGAAGAGGTACTAGAGGTAGGTTGCCTGATAACCTTCATTACGTCATCTGTATGCCTAACCATAACCAAATCTTTCAATCTTGGTTACAACATTGTTACAACCTACTAACCTACCAATGACGTCATCAGCTTGTCATCACCAGTCGTTGATGCAAAAAAAAATTATCTGTTCAATTCTGTTCGAACAAAATTTATTTTGAATAAACAAATATAAAATTGACACACAACAAAACATTTCTTATTCTATAAGGATAATAACAAAAATAAATTATTGCAAATTTTTAAAAACAAAAAATTATAAGTATAAATAATTTTTAGGATTGATTAGTTAGGTATTGCAAGATATTATCTACCTCAAACGGTAATTGATCTAAGGGTAATCCTTGTTCTACCTCATCATCGTTGCTTTGTATGCTGCATTCGAGTCAAACATGATCAAAACCTCATCGGGTAATTTATAAGAATTGCAGCATTTACCTATATTCTTCTCATACCGAACTTTATATTTAAAATATTGTTTAAGAGGTTCAATTTTATTCGATTGCGAATTTTATTTTTGACAATACTCATTGAACTAAATACTCTTTCGACATCAGCATTTATTTTGAATGAGGTAAGCAAAGTATCCTTAAAGCAAGATTGACTAGATTTTGAAAGGGATTTTTATCTGATGCATCCCTGTAGGTACTTACTTCTATCCAAAACTGCTCTGTACTTTGTGTTTCGGCCCAGTTTATCAAATTTTCAATTCTTGATACTGTCTGGGCAACATCATAAAACTGAGTGGCTATGTCTGTGATTGGTATTTCATTTGGTTTTAAGCATTCAGTCACTGAGAAATACTGCATTTTGTTTAAAATTGTTATATTGTCAGGAAGCCTTTGTTTCAGCTGTTTGGCCAGTTCAATTAAAAACGAAATACAACGACCCTTTATCATTTCTTTACTTTGTTGATCTAAATGGCAGTCATTACAAGACTTTTCAAAGGCGAATCCCAAGTAAGGATTAGGGTCTAAGTGACTTTCAAAATCATCTACAATAGAATAAATATGAATATTTGCACTTGGAATAACAATTTTCTTTATAATAGATAAATATAAGTGATTCAAATTACCAAATAATTTCGTAACATCAGCATTTGATGCCTCAAAACTTTTATTTGTTGCCTGTACTAAATTAACAATGGAGTATATAAATTCTAAATATACCTTATTGTTGAGATCTTTGTACATTGAATACAACATTTCAGCTGTGTAACAGTTGTCCTTCAAACGAACAATATCAAAATGTGCCTTCAAGCTATCCCACTGTTCCAATATTCGTTTAAGTGCTGGTTCGATGGATATCCATCTTGTTGCGGCCATTTGTAAAATCTTTAATGGTTCCTCGCCATTATTTATCAAAGAATAAATTTGTTTATAAGAAAGCTGTCGAATGTAACTGTGACTAAACCAGTTGTATGTTTCCTTGATCAGAAATTCAATATTTCGGGGCAAAGTTTTTTCTGAAGCACAGGAATTTGCTAGTTGTAACGAGTGGCAAACACAACGCACTAAAACCAAATGTGGAACATCCTCTTTCAATTTTGCAAAAACAACATTTGTAATTCCTATCATTACTGACGCATTGTCAGTACCTATACCCTGCAAATTCTGTAAATTCAATTTGAGTTTTGTCAGAAGCAGCTTTATAGCCTCAACAATGCACTCTGCAGTTCCATTTTCAATATTTATCAGTGACAAGAACGTACTAACTATTTTTGAATTTTTCTCACTAAAATACCTGATTACAAGTCCTAACATTTTTAAAACTGCTACATCAGTGGATTCATCAATAATAAGACTATATGGGTTATCTCCTACATCAAACAGTAAGTCCTTCATAAAATGGGGACCCACAACATTTTTAATTAAATTTGTACATTTGAGTCGATGAACATTAACATTGTTTATTCCACACAAGTGATCAATAGCATTTATAGAGGTCTGTGAAGCTACGAATAGACAAATATCACCTTCTTTCCTTTGCTGAGTGGTAACAACTTTATTATTGTTATGTGTTAAGTTCAATTTCTGCTGCCTTGGACATGAAGAGGGCTTCTCGGCTGCTTTATTGTGCTTTAAACTTTTAGAATGCTTCTTGATATCACCGAGCTTGGCGTTCACAAAAGATTTGCAGTATTTGCAGTATGCTTTGCTGGTATCTGTGCTGCATGGTTGCAGCCAACCTTTCATATCAGGCAGCTTTTCCCACTCGCCTCTATATTTTTGCCTGTATTGTGGAGGCACTAAAAAATATTTCTTAACACAAGATTTGAAATAACCAAACGCACATACTCTATTTATGAACATTGGCGGCAGCAGACACTCAGATAATGACAAATGAGAATAATGAGATATGAGATAACAAAGGTGACAGACGTGAAACGAATGAAAATACCACACAACACAAAAACAATCAACAATCACGAAGTGATACTTCTTCTTCTTCTTCTCTTTCTTTCCAATATTCCAATTGCCTCTGCTCTATAAGCACAAAGTCACTATAGTCAAAGAGGGCTCTCTTCTTTGCTATAGTTCAGTGGGTGCAGCTCGCTCACGCTCGCTCTTCTGTGAGCGAGTAGCAATAATTAATAATTCACTAGATATTCTCCAAATGAATCACAAATACACCAGCTTTGAGACCATCCTCAAACACTTCTCAAAAGTCTCTTTGGCACAATGAAATTCTCCAGTTTTGGTGACAAATACACCAAGTTGGTAACACACTGTGCAAAACTGGTGCCAAACCAGTGCACCACCAGGTTTACCAATGGAATTAGTCAACTTTGAAATATAAGGGTGATGTTTATGGTTTACGTTTATGGTTTCGTATGTGTATAGTGTAAAGGGTTCCTATTGTTTTTTACAGAATTGCAAATGAAGAAAAATGTGACGTAGATCAACATCTGAACACAATGGAATACAGAAAAAATATAAGGAAGGCCACAGTAAATAATAAAGTTACTGATTCTCTTGTGCCAAAATGAACAAACATGGAAGTACAGATTTCTGCAGCTGAAGGAATGCTGGCTTTTCACACAGTTCGTCATCTTTTGAGTTTCAGATCATGTGACTGTTCTGTAAAATTTATCAAAAAGAGTATCTCAGATTCTAATATGGCGATAAAGATTGCTTTCGCGAATTTATAGAAATTGTTCATGAAAAATAATTTCAGGAGGTTCATAATGATAATTGTATAATTTCTGTTTCCTTGAAAAGTATATTATTCTTCAGAATATTATACGATATTATCGAAGGAAAATTATACATTATACGATGATTTCATAGTTCCTCTGAGTACAGAGAATGTCCGTGAATCTTCATCTATAGTTTATGCAGAGTCAGTTGAAACAGATCATCAAAGGAATGTCGAGCCTCGATGCCGCTCTCTTTGAACTTTCAAAGGGATCGACGGCCCGCGGTGATGTATTGTTCCATAGATCAATCTATGATTGTTCCAACTGACTTTGCATGAATAAAACTTTCCCATTCCGAAGAAAATGATCTTAAGTGAAAACTACAGCGATGATGTCAGAGGTATGAGGCGACACGTTTGTCGGCAAATAGACGAACTGACGAAAATCCGCACATCGGTCGGCGACACAAAAACTTCCTTCAAATAAGCGGCGAATTCCACATATACGTAGGAAACAAATTTTTATTAATTAAATAACCCTTTCTTCCATTGGTTCCTATTGGATGATGTGAAATAGGACTGGTAAAATTAAATTTTATCATTTGGTGTTCTGATAGAGCAGAGGTAGCAAGTGTTTACTTCGAAGTTCGTTCTTTAGTAGTGCATCAAATAAGAAAAAAATGACCCGGCACGGATCGAAAAAAGGTTATGGCTTTTGTCAAGAAAACTCTCCTTGAGAGGAAGATTAGTTCGATTGCGTGAAAATAATCATTTGAACCAAGAATTCAAAAATGATGATCAGGTAAGCATACACACTATTTTACTATGCAGTTTCTGTTTTTTAGGCAGCGCCGGTCGGAAACACTTCCAGATAAATTCAAATATGTCAATCTACTAAAACCTCTTTGTATTTTTAGTTTTTCGAAAATATCTATCATGTACTAGTCGTGATAAGTGAAGGTGGAGATATTGGAAAAAATGCATGATGGTGTATATTTCGAAACACAAAAATTTTCACTGGGAGTTAGTTTTGAAAGAACTGAACACTGATTCTTCCGACTCCAATGATCAAGTGGAACGAATTGCGGATGTCTAAAAAATGTTTCAATTGTTGACCGATTGATGTGGACCAGTAAGGAATGATATTTCCATTTTAATTCATATAGTAACGTCTCGATCAACTACCAGAAAAGGATTGAGAATTCTCGAATGTAATGGATCACGATTTTCAAGAAATGCCTATCCGCGATAACAATTTGGAAATAGGAATGCCTATATACCCGTGACTCCAGCGAGAACAATTTGGCCATAGACAATCATATAGGGAATTAGATTTCGTGAATGTATTTGTTACTGGAGTTATGCGTTTGAATTCGGTGGATAGTGATACTAGTTCCATCAAGAGTCCCCTGAGCTCAAGTGCTTCCGCTAGTAAAATAACTTATCAAGCTATCGTTTCAAATAATTAGTGGTGCCCGCGAGAGTCTCGTTTTCGAGAGTCTCGCATGGTCTCGTCTTGTTTTCGAGACAAGAATCGAGACGAGACTTGGACAAGATGAGACGAGACTTTCATTGGTCTCGTCTCGAGTCTCGTGCAAGACTTCTCGTGTCTCGTGCGAGAGTCTCGCAGGTGAATATTCCTGCGTTTCGACCTGAGAATTTCATTCATAATGAAACATATTTAGATAGAATTCTATAAGAAAACATCGGAATTGCCTGAATAATGAATCTGCACGATGTTTGTTATGTCTTAAGGACTGGGTGAAAAACAAAAACATTTTTGATCGTGAAGGCTGATCTGGCTGATGAAGGCAGGGATAGTGGCTTCTTCCTGCCGCTTGACAGGCTGAAAAGGTGAAATTGCTTTGCAACGTTACAAGAAATTCTAATGAAATTAGTAATCAGAATTGACACTGACGTTGGATGAACACAAAATGATAGAGTTTTCAATGAAAAAATTACACAAAATTGGTTCTATATCATTTGGAGAAAAAATTCCATGTTTCACACGGCAGCGAATGCAGATTACTACTGCCTTGGCTGAATTCCTAGCCTCGCATCGCTCGGCTATGAACTGTCAGCCGCGGCAGTCAATTTACTACTTTTCTACTACTGCCTAGTGAAACAAATAACTATTTTCCTAGATCGCTATTTCTCAAATAAGTGAAATAATGTTGGATTAAAGTTTTTGTTTTGTTTATTTATTTAGAATATACGTGTTAATTTTTATTTCATTTTCATAACTTTCCAATCTATATTGCTATGTTTATTTCCTTGTTCAGATGTATGATGTAAGTATGTACCTATTAGGTACTCACTTTTCAATAAATTATGTTAATGTACAAATGATGATATTTCCGAAGATATTTCGAATAGTACTAATAATAATATCAATATTCCATGCATGCATTCATTAGCAAAAAATCATCTACCAGCATGAATATTTCGGATGACTTTCCCTGCTTTCCTGAAAGTGATCGGATAAATAATGTTCCATATTCAGCACGTGATATTCTTGAGCATGCTGCTGACGTGAGTAGTAATATTTCTCACATCATTGAATCTGACACTGTCGAGACTTATAGTGGGAACCTAGAGACTGGTAATTCTTGTAATTGGTAACTGGTAATTGTAGTACGAGAAAGAAATCAAAAAAAAGCTATAGAAGAAAATGATTTGGAGGAATAGTGGACATGCAGTATTTCATCGATTCGCTGAAATCAATTGCAGATTATGTACCACACATGAGATGCACACTAGATAATATAAATCCTCACAAATTGAATAAATTCAGATTCTTGAGATTATATCAGCAGCCCAATGAACATTAGCGCACAATTCACCATCATCTCGAATTTGTTTCCTATAACATCCTCTACATATCGGTCATTGCAGTTCCCGAACAAACATGAGCTTTATCGGAGCATTACAATGAATAATCAACCTTACAAATGCCCCAATCGAGATTAATAACCTCTCTCCAATGCATTGGAAACAATTTTTGAATTGAATGTTATTATCGCTAATAGCACATAACGTCCTAGGGACGTCCCTATTTGGTACAATCCGAGTCCGAATGACCCGGAACAAAAATAAGTGTCCTTGGGACGTCCCATCCCGTACATCTCATGAAATGTACGAGTAAGGACGTCCACGGGATGTGCCAGCTGGTACATCATTTCAAATGTCCTAGAAATAGCATCCCTTAGACGTCCCACGTGTTACATATTGTAGAATGTCCATGCAAGGACGCCCTTGGTATGTCCCTGATGGGATATGATTTTAAACGTTCCTTTAGGGACATCCATCGGATGTGCCGAGTAGTACATATTCTGGCTTGACTTCAGATCTTATATAATGTCACTTCTAGACAACCATGAAATATCCCTGATAGTACATTCCTTCAAATATCTCTGCACAGACGCCCTTGATATTTCCAGGATTGTATAAAAATCGAAATGTCCCTTAGGGACATCCTTCGAATGTCCCTTACGGATATCCGTCGGATGTCCCAATTGGTACATGAACTGTACTTATCCAATGTCCTAGAAATAACGTCCTATGGACGTCCCAGTCGGTACGCCGACGAATGATTGCTGTCAGGCTGTAAATACTCCCGTCAATTTTCTTCACGTGAGGCCATTGAACATTCTTGGAAAACTTTTTCTGGATCTATTGGAAACCTTCTACGGACCATCAACTCAACTGGATGTTCTCATCAGTTACGCAAGATCTGGTCCTAGGGACTCAGAAAAATTCAAATTCAAGAATAATTCGTACGTCCCTGGGACATCCTATGGACATCCAATTGATATCCCTCAGCGTTGCTGAAAGGTTGTCCTCGATAGTTGCCCCAGGGACATCCCTCAAGGACGTCCCTAGTTGGTCCTCAAGTGGGACATTTGTGCGTCCCACAGACGTCCAATGGACGTCCACGGTACCAAATTCGAACGTCTTATGGACGTCCTGAATGTCCCGACAGGACGTACTAAGGATATCCATGGGACATAATTGTGTTATTAGGGTATGAGACACCCTATATATGATTACTGGCAAA